TTTTGGATATTTGTGAATTTTGAAGGTACTGTTATACGTATGTTTTTTCTCAGAAGGCTCAGAGACATTTCAAAGATTTAGTAGAAGAGTAGGAAAATCAAAATGGTTCACATTACCTTTATATGGCATATAGAACTGGACTATCACATCTGGATAGCATTATAACTTAAACATGTACTGTACTACTACGTGCAATGACCGCATGTAAACTGGTATGGGCCTAAATAGCCCATAAACTACATTTATGGGGCTCGGCTCTTGTGTGTAGCGTTTTGCTGTCCAGTGCAATAGAACATACATACACGAGTATCACTCATAAGTATTAGTTTTAGTTCTGTTAATCATAGTACTTGTTTTCTAAGATTAAACTATTATTGGTATGCTACATGATGTATATATACAATGGCTTCCTTTAAAATCATGACACATACTAGTCATAGGAAGATCCAATATAAAATGCTCTTAAACTGGACTTAATTGTAATCATGTGTAGCCGTTACAAAGTCCAAACATTGTGGCCAATAGAGAACATCAATGCCATGATGTTTAACTTTAAGAGGCTCGTACTCACTGTACCTCTAAAGGAGCTCATCACTCTAATTGAAATGAATGGGACCCACCTGCTGTGTGTTTTGCCCAACTTTCCCCTCGTATCTAAACGGGTCTTTGAAAGATGTCAGAAAGGGCACTGAGGTTTAATGGGCCTAATTCTGAGCCATACTTTATTTTGATCCAGAAGCCAGTGCTTCAGAATGCTTGTGAGTCACATTTGTAGAACAATCGTAAACCGAAGGCATTCTTCAAATAGCTGTGCATGTCTTGAAAAACTCAGCTATCTTTTAAGATAGCTAATTAAGATAGCCTAATTAAGATATTAAAATATCTTAATTAGGCTGCCTTAGATGATTATACCCATGTTGGTGTTTGATTTATTTCATTTTCATTTCATATCTATTTTACCAGTTGATCAGACTGAGGTCCATGACCTGTTTTAAATTTAAAGGCTCAGTGGCAGCTTGCTTGAAATTTCTGCAAAAAAACCCAGAATTGTCCAACCCAGTATCAGGCAAAAGATCGGCTGATGGTATATCATGTACCCAATTGTGTGATTCTGATTCAGCCTTCAGGCATGGATTAAGTCCCTTTAGTCTGATCTTTCACAGTGGAATCCACAGTAGATAGAACCCAGCTGACCACCAGTAAATATAGAGATGTTTCAGAGTTTTGTGGGCAGATCAGAGGGATAGGTTCTTGCCTTAAGCCTTCACGATCAAGTTGGTAATCTCCCAAAACTTTGAAACATGTGAGAGCGTCCCTTGTTAGACCTTAAGGTACCATGGGGTATCCTCAACTCTCTTTTAAGAAGTTTGAAATTATTAAGATATTTAACACATACACATGGTAAATTTCGTACTGTAGATAGTGAAACTTTCACGATGGTTTTATTTTCCTGGTTTTTGCGGTGATTTCTTCACTGCAAATTCATGACATCACAAATATATCTTCCTTGTATGACTGCTGTACTTCAGAATTGTTTCAACCACAATCTAAAAACCTCCTTTTCCTCCCTATCGTGAAATAAAACCATTGCAAAAGTTTCACGATTTACAGTTCTTTTTATTCTGTGGATGTGGCTATGGCCGAGCACTAGCTTTGTGATCTGCAGCCTTGTATGTACACCCAGACAAACACAGAACTGCCAGGGAAAGTGTGTGGTACATGTGTGCAGGAAATTTGCTCAGCGCCACTCCAAAGTGACAAGTGGAGGATGGAGGCGAGAGGTTGTAACGAGCGGGAAGTGGTTAGAGTGGGTGTCGAAAAACTACTTCAGATTCTTGTAGGGTTACAGAATGACGGCGACGAAAAAACTACAGATGGTGAGTTCAAGCGTTCTTCCGCCACTGCTTTGGAAATTTTGCCTGCATATGTAATGTCATCTTACAGTTGTATGCTCATGAGAGATGGGAAAGGCTTGAAATGTTTCACTTTTCTCCTAGGAATCGCGTTGTTGTTTATGGTGGCTGTTGACTCTGTCAGGGCACGGGTCAACATTTTAAGATGTCCGTCAAACTGTTAAGTGTTCTGTGGTTGGTGGTTGATTAATGACCACTGGTTGATTTTCCCCTGGCAACCAATTACAGGAGGGTTTCTTTGCTACACTGTTGCTGGCCTGGATGCCAGACTCTTCTCAGGGCTCATATGCAGGCTGACCCAGTAAGCTCCTGGTCTTATAGGGGGGGTCTGTGGTAAAATTTCCTTGGGGACAAGTTGGCCCTTGAGCCAAGGATATTGGCCCTGACAACAGGCTGGAACCCAGCCTAGCTCTGAAGCCGAGGAGAAAGCTGTATAACTGGCCCTGGCTAGCCTGTATACTGGCCCTGACAACAGGCTGGCACCCAGGCTAACCCTGGAGTCTGGGAACTAGCCAGTATACCAGCCCTAGCAACAGTCTGGCACTCAGGCTAGCCCTGGAGCCAGGGAGCTAGACAGTATATAGGCCCTGGCAACTGGCTGGCACCCAGACTAGCCCTGGAGCCAAGGAGCTAGCCTGTACTGTATGCTGGCCCTGGCAACAGGCTGGCACCCAGGCTACATGTACATCTTTGCTGAAGGGACCAGGAATGTCCAAATGTCACAGGACTGTGTCTGATCTGTTGTCCCACGGCTCTGGGCCTAATGGGGCCTGAAACCCTTCTTTTTCCCCCTGTCACTTTGCCCAAAATCCGGCTGATATTCACACAGTGACAACCCCTGTGATTTATTCTGTAACCGGGATTTAATTGTAATTTCCAACACAACGGGAATATTGAGCTCATCTGTAATTTATTAGCCTGGTTACCAGACCTATTATAGCTCCCGAGTCCCACATCCTCATAGCAAATAGCAAATAGCGGAGAGGACGTAGGACTCGAGAGCAATAATAGGTCTGGTAACCAGGCTAGTAATTTATGTCTTCCCCTTTTCAAAAGTGTATAACTGCCCCTTTCTTTTTGTAAGCCTCTGCTTTTGTGAACTATAATAAGAATGTAGACTGACAGACATTGAAAAGGGTTTAGTGAATGAAATAAGCTTTCAACAGGTGATAGGCAATAGCATGCTTAGGCAATTGAATGCTTGTATCATTTTTGTCTATGTGTATATGAAACTCGAAGATTTGCTTGTTAATAGATTCTGTTCCAGGTTGAAGATAACACCATTGTCGTTGCCGCTTATATCTATTGATGATGCGGGCCACAACTCCTTTCTCTCTTCTTTCTAGAATTTTGGTGTGTTGGCTAGATAGGCCTTCATAGAACCTTATAAATTGGTTAGATTTTGGGCCACCTGGCGGCTTGTTATGTTCAAGACTGCAGCCAAACTTCTGCTTGTATTTTTTATCACATGTCTCACTTGTGTATCAGGGTGATAAAAATAATGTCACCTACAAATGTATGTCTTGGTTAGTGGAGCTGGCAGACTGGTGCCAGGGCTCAATTACAGCATTAGGCAGGGGAGAATCAATGCTCCTTAAATGGTGCATGAAATGGAAAGGATTGGCCAATGGGGCATGGTGGCATTGCCTGTGGACAAGTCCCAGAATTAGTGGTGCTCTCGGCAGCATGTGGGCCACGGCTTTCCTTTCTCTTCTGTTTACCAGACTTCTACATGTTTGTGGCCATTGTTTGATGAGCATTTCATTAGAAATAGTGAAAACAAGTTGTCTGAAAAGGCTTTTTATTCAGTACAAACAGAGACATTGTACAAGATAATGTCCTTGGTACAAAGTAAATCATTGGGTTCTTCTAGTCCCAGTAGGAGACAGCTTGATTTTCACAGCTCTTTTACGGTTTGAATGGGGGCGTGGAAAATCCCGGTTAATCCTTGTTATCAAGTCCCTGTCATATTGACTCTCATTACTTGGCTGGTATATTCTTTTCGACAAGCTGTTAATTCCATTAGTTCCACTTTGCGATTCACAATAGGGGATCAGATGTCAATTAGCCACTATTTAGGGAAACCCAGCAATGTTTTTCCAGTAGTGGTGTCCTGGGGTGCTAGTAGTGTCACGGTTTCAAAAGGAGATGGTCTAATTTCTAAAAGGGTTCCAGAAAAGCACAGTATAGAAAGTCATGTGTGTGTGTGGTAGTTTTAGCTTATCACATTTGCTACTGTGTCGCTGAAAATATATTCTATTTTTCAATAGTGTAAGATTTTCTGCATCTCTGCTATATGCTAGTCTGTGATTCTTAGGCTTTGGGAATTATGACTGTGTCAGTGATTAATATAGACTGTATTGTCTATCCCGCTCCAAACTTGCCTCTTTGCAAAAAACGATCGGGCCACCTGTCCCAGCAGGCGGCAGAGACACCAGCGTCAGTCCACAAACGTCACTCTGCCCATAAAAGTCCAATCTTTACGTCAAAGCCGTCGCCACTACGACATCGTATCTTCATGTTTGGGTTTGGGGGGTGCCAAGTTACCCCTCCCCATAGGGCCTGCAAACCTCAAAAAGGCGTAATGTTGGCTTGTGTTACCACATGTCCCGCTGTTCCCGTGTGTGTTTGGCTTTACAAGGGCATGTTCTATCCTCTCTAACCCACAGGCACAACATGTAGACTTGTTTGGCCGGGGAGCTTACATTCTTGGTCGGGGTTCTCAGTATTACAGTGTGAAAGTGTGGTGGTTAATTGCTTGGAGCCAGATGAAATGATATCCCCCGGGACACTTCAGGGCTTGTACAAATTTACAACCTGCCTCTTGATTAATGACTGGAGTAGTTGATTGGCAGCCGGGCCCCGGCCGCAGCCCATTGGTGGGTGACCGGTGTGGAGCGCCATGATTGGCCAGCAGTGGCCCCATGCGAGGAAGGGTAATTGTTTGAGGTATTACTTTCCTTGTAAGTGGGATCGGAGTGTGGATGGTCCCTCTTCAGCCACACAGTGAAAGTGCAGTGGACCTGGCTCGTGGCTGCTAGCTGTGTGTGGCGCCTCCCCCAAGGCAGTAGTAACTGTATAATAAGCATGGAACTTAATGGACTTCCCAACCTCATGCCACTGGTGGTGGCGTCCATGTTCCTGTCCCATTGTCAAGTGCAGTGCATGGACTATGGCTACGGGGACCGTATATACAACAAGCAGCCGCAGTGTACGCCCATTCCCTCGGAGCTGACTCTGTGCAGAAACATTGCGTACGCGCAGATGAGACTGCCCAACCTCCTGGGCCACGAGACAATGACCGAAGTGTTGGACCAGGCCGGTACCTGGGTCCCCCTGCTGCCCAAACGGTGCCACCCGAACACCCGCTTATTTCTGTGCTCTCTGTTTGCCCCCGTGTGTTTGGAACACCCCATCTACCCCTGCCGCTCCCTGTGCGAGGCCGTCCGGGATGGCTGCTCTCCCGTCATGCTGAAGTTCGGCTTCCCGTGGCCTGATATGCTCAGGTGCGACAAGTTTCCCCCGGACAACGACCTCTGTATCACCACTCAGTCCGGGGAGGTGGATCCCCTACCGCCCGGTGAGTGTGTGTGTGTGTGTCTGGTTTACTTTCTGGCAAGTCCTTGTGCCTAGTGTTGTTACTACTAAGCTTTCTCTCCCTTTCCCCCTTTCCCAGTAGTTTGCAGCCGATTCTTTTTACACAAACAAAGATTCACCTGTCAGGAAGTGAGAGCTTTTTAGCTGTTCCACTTTCCACATCCCCTTGCTTTTTTTTTGTTGTTGTTCCGACCACGGGGCATATTTTTGAGGTTGAGTCAACCGGAGCAAAGTTCAGACCCACATCAGTGATTTTTCCTTCCGACGCTCCAAAGTTCATGCTATCGCCGTGTTAAATTGTTGCGAGATGATTTGGTGCAATCAGCCGGCCTTATCTTGTTCCAAAGGTGTTAACAGCGGAAACAATGTGTTGTTGGGTAATTGATTGCCATGGATTTATTGGCTTATCCATTTAGCCCCTTTTCAGGCCGTCCGGGGAGCATTTTACGTGTGGGAGGGGAAGTGCATGTAAGTGTGTAAATAGTTTACTCCTGCAGAGTGGGTTTTGCCATGCTTGGAAAGCTATGAAAGAATAGGCAGCATTTGCCAGCCGCGCGGTGAAAGGAAAAGGGGTGGGGAAAAGTATTCTCCTGTGTAAACAGTTTACTCTCGGGCGAGAGAGGCTGACACCGTTTTCTGCTCTCTCCCTCCCTCCGCATGTCTCTCCATCCAGAAGTGGACCAGCCCCAGCCCGTGTGCATGGCCTGTCAGAGCAACGGAGAAGGCTGGAAGGACCTGGTGGCGTACTACTGCCAGAACGACTTCGGTAAGTTTCACATCTGCTATATACACACGCCATTTCCCGTGCATCCCGGTATGGGACAGGGTCAGTCGGGGGTTGGGTCCTGACGTCCAGTGGGACGTGGCCTGTCACGTTGGGGCGGGGGGAATGTCCCGGGCAGGACCTTTCCTCCCAGGTATTTGTCCAGCCAATATTTGTGCATTCTTATCACATGTCTGTAAACCTTTAGGTTCCATAACTCAGGGCTGTAAGTGTTGGCTTGATTGACAACTTGTTGACATGTTGTCACTCTGCTTTGTGTTCCTTGTCTCTCACCAGCCGGCGCGTCGCAGACAGACATTGGAAAGAGAACTTTTCGGCATACTGTCAGATGTCTGATTTCTTCTACCAGTGCTTTCACTTTTTTAGATCGTATATGATTTAGTCAGATTGATCCTTGCTGTTCTCCAACTCTTGAGAATCAAAAATTTGCCCAGAATGTTTTTCTCAGTCAACCTACATACAGTTTTGACAAAGTTGATTTTGATATAGAATCATGTTTGTTGCCAGGGTGACATCATGACTGAGTATTTGCTTTCTTGCTCTCTGATGATGATTCTTCCACTCTGCATATTTCTATATCAAAAAGACACAGTATTCATGCAGTGTCCTGCAAATTCACATTTGATGCAATGATCTACCTTGAAGTCTTAGGGGGTGTGCCTAGATTTTTGCTGGTGGGAACACCAGTACTCCTACCTCAAAAAGTCAGCCTGGAGCCCTGACCTCTTATACATTGTACCATTAGCTGTAAAGTTGTCTCAAAAAAAGGAAATGGATTTTATGACCACCCTAGCAACAAAGATAATCACCGTGTCCACAAGGATGCAAACGAGGGTTCCGTTTGTTTCCCAAGGCTCTTGTCTGGTGGGAAAATTAATTGAACGCCGCTTTGTTGTAAATCTGACATAGTCTTATCTGGACAGGTAGTAAATTATCTGGGAAGGGTGCACTGATTTGTGGTGGTTAGTTTGCGAAGGGCAAAAATAGTAACAGCAGTCAGTCACTTGGCTTTAAATAATAAAAGTTTATTATCACTTAATTTCTGCTGGGAGAAGAGCGTCCTGGAACGACCTGTCTGCAGCCACCGTGCTACAGCACATGACGCCTCCAGAAGTCTGAAAAGATTGATTGATTGATTGATTGACTGATTGATTGATTGATTAATTCAATCTGAAATATTTATCTAATTGTTTCTCTTTCCACACTTCATTTTTCATCATTTTTGTGAGAGAGATACCACAGCCACACACATACACACACACCGCTACATGTGTGTTTTCTCTTTTTGGCAAGCCTAAACTGTTTTTGAAAGAAAGAAAATAAATAAACTTAGAGGTTAATGATTGAGTTACCAAGGGGAGATAGTGGAGGTGTAAATATGTTTTGCTCCTGACTTGCCAAACCCAATTCTCTAAGTAACTACCATTGGAAAGTGGAACCAGTATAAGACAAGCAGTTTCGACAGGTGTCTTAAGTATTTTCAAGAGTGCAGATGCACAATTGTTCGAAGGGTCATTAAATTCTATGTACTTTTGCTTAAGCAGAGTTGTCAATTGAGGTTACACATTACACTATTATTTATATTATATTACATGTTTTACAGTAAGTTCTTTTTTAACGTGGGGATTTTTTTGTGGCAGTAGGGAAATAATTATATAAGCTTTTTGCAGTGTTAATGATTGAAACAATTAAGTAGTATTGGTATCATGCATAGTCACAAAGAACTCTGTCCTCACTGTCTAGTACAGTAACCCAAAACATTTGAGTGCCTTGTTTTGTGGTGAATAATGAAGTAAATTTTAAAAAAAGCAAAAATCCTGGAAATAGAAGAACAACAGATATTTCAAGACTCACAGTATCTGTCCTCACCTGTCTGAAGATGATTCCTTAAGAGGAGTTTCATGGATCCATGCATTGCTAGACAGGAAGAATGTCAGTTATTCTTTCTTTCTGTCTTTGAGACAGCGGTCAATCCAGTAAAGCTCTTTTCTGTCAGAGACTCTCAGTTGACAGGGCTCAAAATACTTTGCCAGGTAGCATTGAAAATTACCTGCACCAGACAAATTTTACCTGTACCACTCAGAATTTAGGAAGTATGGTTCACAATAAATTGTTCAGAAATCATTGCTATTACATGTATTTATTAGGGGTGATAATAATCGATAGAGTAAATAAAAATTCATAATCATACACCTATATACTTGTACTGACTCCCTCACTCAATCCAGTGTATATTATATTATACTTGTACATGTATGTATAAACCCAGTACATGTTCTAGTGCAGGTTATATATTAAGTACTAACAGTATTGCATGCTGCTCTAAATCACGTTTCCAAGTTCAGACCAATTGAGTCAATTTACAATTTGTTAAGAATTGCACATTATACGTCAAGTTACAAACCTTTGAAACATTATAGGGAGATATCCTTTAACACAGAGTACCAACTGTCATATAAAAATGGTGTACTTCCAAATAGATTCCAAAAAGCTGTATATTGTGGTACAACCGGGAAGTTGTGGTCCCGCCGGTGGTCCTGTCCGTTCCCCCGTGCTAAGTAGGTGCTTCCTCCAGCCGGGGCCAGTTGAAATTGATCTGGGCTGAAGCACACACTTGACCCTCTGTTCAACGTCAACTTATCCGGCCATCAATAACACTCCTGTTCCCCCTGCCATACACGCACATTCCTGCCTACAGCAGCCCCTCCTGTACAGCCAACGCGTCAATACGGATTACCGCCCACTTGACAAGTACATGTCCACCTTGAGCCGCACTCTGTAGCATTAGGGGTGACGAGAGGCAGTCGGTTTGTTGTCGCTCAGCGTTAATTCTACTAACAAGGTCTTTAGGATGTCTGGCTATGTGGGGACTTGACCTACCAGTTGTGGCTATTTGTCAGGGGATGGTACTACAAGTACATTTAGTCTGTGTTGTGTAGCTTCCGTAGCAGACTTATAGAACTTGGGGTTTCGTGGTCTTTTCGGCTGTTTTCTGATCTGCCCAGTTCATAAAACGAGGGTGATTCAACCAGGTCAGCTATGTTGTCTATATATGCAATCAGAAAATAGCACATAAAAGATCCCAAAGACCCTGAAGACCCCCCAAACCCCCAGTTTTTGGCATGCTATGGAGGCTAGTGTGGTGGTGGTTGGTGGTTACTTGTCTGAGAGCTAGCTTCACTTTAGTGTAACAGTTCATACTGACCTGCATGGCTACAATGCATACAATGATTAAACAGAACACTTTTGCAAAATGGGAAAAGATGATACAAATTTGTGTGGTGGTGGGTGTTACTTTGTATTTGTCCGAGAGCTAGCTTCACCGCCAACCTAGCTGCAGAAAAACACTTAAGAAAGGTTTTTTGAAAAATGGGCAAAGACATCCTAATTGACAGTTCTATGTGATAATCTCATCACACGTGCTCCGCCTTGCATTGCCCAACTACAGAATCACTTCAACCATGCATGACCTTAACTCCCACCGCGAAATTCAGTCCACAGCAACTTAGATCAATTTACAGTACATGTCTACCTTATAAAAAGCAAGTTTTCGCACTGATTTACATACCAGGCCAAAAATTAGTGCTTAATCATAAATGAAATGTCAGAATTTGTTGTCCAGGAGTTGTCATTCCACTATGCTCTTCCACCATTTAATTAATTTGCTGAGTTAAAAGAAACAGCATTTTAAAGAACCATTTTGAACGTGGCTATGTCGAAATGCGTGTTCTCCAGCCAGACATACAAGTTTAGACTCAATGTTGTTACAACTTACATGGTGAAATACAATATTATCAGTCTATCACTGCAGTGTAACATTTGGCTCTGATGAGAAGGAAAATTGGCTTATAAATCTTTTGGTGGTGAGAGGTCTGTTCCCAAGGGACTGTCCTGTGCAGCCTGTGGAAGATTAGCTCTTCAATGAGCTAAACTGGTTCGAGATCACTTTCACTTTTTTCACTTTTTGCACTTAACAGCAGGCCTAGAAAAAAAATGTTGTGTTTCCTGTTTTCCTTCCGACCCTAGAAAAAACTGCCAACCCTAGCCTTTTTGTGTGTATCCTGCCAGTGACATAAATTTTTTGATCTGACACCTGAGTAATGAAACGTTGTACAAATTATTGGTTTTCCAACATTGACATGGAACATATAAGTAACAGCCTCCAGTTTAATTCTGGACTAATTCCCATATCTCAGCACCCTTACATCTACATGGGCTAATGTCGTAAACTATAGGTACAAATATGTGGCAGCCATCAAGGACCCTATGGCCAGTATGGGGATTAACCCAATTCTAAAGAATTATGGAACTGGAGCCAGAATTCTGGGAAGTAGAGCCAGAATTCTGGGAACTGGAGCCAGAATTCTGGGAAGAATTCTGCAGAATTGGGTTAACCCCTGGGGGGTCCTCAATGGCTGCCACATATTTCTTACATCATTTTTACCTATAGTTTACGACATTAGCCCATCTAGATGTAAGGTTGCTGAGATATGGGAATCAGTCCGGAATTAAACTGGAAGTCCAGAATTAAACTGGAGGCTGTTACTTATATGTTCAATGTCAATGTTGGAAAACCAATAATTTGTACAACGTTTCATTACTCAGGTGTCAGATAAAAAAATTTATGTCACTTGCAGGATACACACAAAAAAGGCTAGGGTCAGCAGTTTTTTCTAGTGTCGGAAGGGGAAACAGGAAACACAGCATTTCTTTTCTAGGTCTTAGTAGTAGAACTTCAGTTATCAGAAAACAAGGCTTGGAATACCACCTGCTTATGAAGGTTAGTGCAGGTGAAATTGGAGCTGTGCAGGTATATCTCTGATGTCTACCTTTACCAGCCAATGTTAGGGAATTGGACTTCTTTTTCTGTGAAATACTATTAGATGATAAAAACTGTTTCCAAGAAAGGTTAAATTTCTAACATGAGTCAGATACTGGAGGTACGGTTTGTTAAAATAATGAGAGAGTAACAGCACGGTAAT